GGGGTCCTCTTTCTCCGCTTTGCTGTCTTCTTCCTTTTCTGCACTCTCTCCACCATCTTCATGTTCATTATCTTCTTCCTCTGATGCGCACTCCTCAATCTCCGCTTTGCTGTGTTCTTCCTTTTCTGCGCTCTCTCCACCATCTTCCTCTTCATCATCTTCTTCCTTTGATGCGCACTCCTCTTTCTCCGCTTTGTTGTGTTCTTCCTTTTCTGCGCTCTCTTCACCATCTTCCTCTTCATCATGCTCTTCCTCTGATGCGCACTCCTCTTTCTCCGCTTTGTTGTGTTCTTCCTTTTCGGCGCTCCCTCCACCGTCTTGATCTTCATTGTCCTTATCCTCATCTTCATCTGATGAGGGCTCTTCATTCTCTTCCTCTGCGCTCTCATCTTGCTCCACCTTTCCTGTCTCCTTCTTTGTTTCTTCATTCTCATCTTCCTTTGCTACTGCTCTGTCGTTTTCTGCTTCTCCTGTGCTCTTTCCCTGCTGCTCCTCTTCCGTTGCTGATTCCTCCTCTTCCTCTGTTGCATCCACTCTTTGTTTGTCTGCTGCATCCTCTTTGTTTTCTTCTTCACTCTCGCTTGCGTCTTCCTCATCATCCTTTGTTTTTGCATTCACCTCGGTCTCATTCTCCACAGGGTCTGAGGTTGGATCCGTGGCATCCTCATCTAAGCTTGAACCTGAGGCATCATCATCGGTGGAATCTTCGTCGGCCTCAGAAGGTGTGGGAATAGGGACTGGTGCCCCAGATAGTGCAGCTCTGAAGTGACCAGGCATGGGTTTTGGAATTGGCACGCCCTCATCATCAGAACTTGCTTGATTCATTTCCTCCGGATTGGTCTGATTGCTTTGATCCTGAGGCTCTGATGAACTCGTTGGTGTTGTTCCTTCATTTCCTTCAATAAGCTCACTGATTGAGTTGACGTGAGCCACAGCGGCAAGTTCATCAGGGGTCATGCCACGCTCCTGAGCAGTGATGCGGTCCCTCAATTCCCTGATTTCACGAAGTTGTTCTAATTGCCACTGTTCTAAGTCTTCGTCATTTTGTGGAATTAAACCTTCACCAAGTTCATGCTCCACATCTTCTCCTTCTTCTTCACTTGTTGCCACTTCTCCATCAAGCTCACCTGTCTCCTCTCTTTGTTCTTCCTCTTCACCGGACTCTTCATCGGATTCTTCTGCCTTTGTGTTGTCTCCTCTTTCTGCCCCATCGTCATCTTCAGCCGCACCTTTGTCCTCCTCATGCTCACTTCCATCTTCCAATGACCTGTCATCGTCCGCATCTTCTTGAACATCTTCTTGATCCTTGCAATGGGTCATGATGAAACACCGCCCCCGCCCCATATCTCAACCATGATTTAAAAAAACGAAAAACACAACTGGAGGCAACTGATGATCCCCGTGTATCGGGATTGGATTGATACCCTGCTGCAGGGTAACAATACCTGGTATTAAAAGAAAAAAGCAAACCCTGACTAATCACATCATCAGGGACAGAGCCAGGATTGTTGTGGGATTGAGATCTCCTGGGCAAAACTGGTTTGACTGTGAACTAGGCCTGAAACAAGTCGCGGGAAAAATACATAACGCTATTTGGTCGAGATGCTCCCCCACCATCATCTCATCCATGGTAGCTGGCATATCCGGGATGTCGAGCGGGAGGGTGTCCATATCATCCATCGAAGTGCTCTTCCTCGGATCCAAGGTTGGTGGAGTGAGCAGTTGGGGATATGTTCAATCTCAAACCCGTTTGTTCCAATGTCCATGGTTTGTCCAGCGCAGGAAAGGATCTCAGTCTTACGTTTTGATTTCGAATCCGGTGAGATAAAGACATTACCATTTCTTTTTTGCTTCTGATGTTGCAACAAGATGTTGTGACATCGAAGGGCCTCAGATGGATAAGGGTCAAACATATGATGTTGTTTCCAATATGTTCCAATCAGCTGTTCTGAAACCAGTGAATAATTGCTTATAAAGGTAAGGAACTTGCTCAACAATCCAAAGATCAAGATCCTCATCCGTTCTTCCAAAGCCTTGGGAGATGGGAGATGACATTCCTTACAAATAAACCCGATCCAAACAATTCCAAACAACTGTTATGCAAAAACAACTCAGGTGGAAACGGAGCTTCCCCTTTTTGACCACCCTTCGAACAGCCTCGCGAACCTGCTGTTCGCGTGGTACGCGGCATAGGCCGCTCTCCCTCCAAGCCACCCGCATCCACTGGTTCCCACCTATGCGGATGTCTCCTCCAGGAACTAGTTCCATAGATTGTTTAACCGCTTGATGGTCCAGATGCTTTAGCATGCACTTTGCAAGAGTCCTTAGATCAAGAGAGTTCTTTAATGTTTATCCCAAAAATGTCAATCATAATCACCATAACCCTGATGAACTTTGCCAAGCTTCTTCGAAGCTTCCGTCATGGATCTTCGTTGCCGCCGTTCAACGGCATTTCCAGATGCCATGACGCGCAAAGGAAGCCAAATCCCAGTTGAAGTCCTGAAGTTCTAAGATACCTGAAGGCTTCCAAAGACTACCTTGAGGATGTTCCGTTCTGCTATGTGGAAGGATGGTGGATGTGGAGTTCAGTGGATAAGATGAGGTTCCCATGGGTTTCTATTGGGTCTTGAGGGGTAGTAGCCTTGTTGAAACACCTTCCCCTTGCTCGCATTTTGAGCCCTGCCAGCAGGCCAGCGAGCCGCGTTGTGGGGGCTCAGATTCAAACCTGGTGATCTACATTCGAACACCCTAGATCCAGGAAACATCAACCATGAAATTTAAGAGGCTACTTCTGGTGACTTGTCTTAAGAGGCTACTTCTAGGCACCCTTTGGAAGGTGCTGGTATATGTAATATATATGTGTATAACTATATATATATATGTGGGATTATGTGTGTGTGTGCTATGTATGCATTCCATATATGGATGGTCGATTTCGTCTACAGCCAAGGTGCTGGAAAGAGCCCGGCCGGAATCTCCTTCTCCTGACCCACGTAGCTCACCTCGTAGGTCTCCCGCAAGGGCACACAAAGCCAAATCCTCAAAGTGAGCGAAGTGGGGAGGTCCCACCAGATGGTCGAACCAGAAACGGTCAGAGAGTATCAGCTGAGAAGGGGAGTTGAACTGGGGTAACTTCACTGTGGGTCATGTCACCGGGATACCGACTGGTTGGTCTACGAAAAGTCAAGCTGCATGGCTTCAAGACTGGCTTCAGGTTGGCTTCCCATCCTCACTTTTGAGGGGGAGCGGATTTCTTTTCCGAAGGGTGGGACCAATGGACTGGAATAGATCCTTCCGAAGAATGGGTGTTCAAACGAAAACAGACCTATAAGATCCTATAAGTGGTCTGCATTTCAGAACGGGAACTGCCAGCGACCGAATTAGACCTTTGGTTTGCCCCTTCGCCTATGCTTCGCCCCTTCCTCTTCCCAAAACAGGCACTACATCACAAGGTTGAGTCAACAAACACGGTGAAGAACTCCGAGTTTAAGCAGTGAAAAGAATCCAAGACCTTATGGGGTCGTATGACGTCTTATGTGGTGTCGGGTCTTATGAGGTTTCAGTCGTTTCAGCCAGCTCGCAGCCGACCAGCCCCAGCCAAGAACTCCGCCCAAGGGGCAGTAAAGTTCCAACCTGCAAGATGGATAGAACGTCTCAAAGTCCCAGAATGGCACTGAATTTCTGGTGAACGGCGGTGTATCTCTCTTAGCTTGGGAAGCCACGGAAAACCATACACTCACCTTTAGAAGACACATTAAACCAACAACATGTTGGGGTGCGAAAACCTTAGAATTTGAGGAATTCACAAGAGTTGCACATCAAAGATCGTTGAAGCAAACAGGTCAGTGCATGTTGTCTCCTTTGGTTGGCTGCCTGACTGCCTGACTGCCGGACTCCTTGACCCAGTGATGTAGACTCGAAAAGTGCTGAACAACAACACGGTGCCTGGACTGGTGCCTGGACTGCCATGCTGCTCATGTCGTCCACAAATAAAAAGAGTTTTGAGTCGAGAGTGCTTTGGACGTTGCTAGGCTAGGATACTATACAGTAGATGCTTCTCAACTCAAAGTGTGCCACTTGCTTTTCAGAATGTACTGCTGTTGCATGTCGTATCCCTCAATCAGTCCGGGAGGGAAGGAATAGCTCTGCGGCTCAGTCCCGCAGCGGCTCAGTCCCCCGGCCGTGCAACAGAACAGTGGAGCCAGCGGCCCCACCAGTGAGAGCCTCCAGTCGAGTGGACCGAGGCCCGACTTGGCTAGACATACTCGACGTGCGGCGAACCTCGCTACAGTATGTGTATGTGTTGTAGTGCAAAACCTCTTCCCAACGTGATCGTTTTTTTTCTGTGAACCTGATCGTTCTTATGCAAAGTCGCTGTAGACACCCAGTCAAAGACCTCGATCAATTCTTGCGCAGGGCAAAATGACCTCTATGCAGTCTATGCACCCTCTGCATCCATCTGCGAAGCGTCGAAGCGCCTCTTCCAACGTTTAGAAGCCAACTTGGCACAGGTCAGGAAGATCACACATCCAAGGCCTAGCAAAAGTCGCGCTTCGAAGCGTCGATCGGACCTTTTCTGGGACGTCTGTTTCCTGCTCTTCCTGCGTTCGACCAAATGGTTGGGACCAGGGGACAGGAAACGCCACAAGTGAGACAAATCGACAGGATCAGCAGGAGTTGAACTATAGACTGTGGATCATGGCACTGGGATAACCGGTTGGCCTACCTGGAAAGTCAAGCTACATGGACCATGGCTCCAGCTTATGGCCCATCCCCACATGACTGGATCATCCTCTATAAACCTCATCTGGTGAAGAAAATCACTGCACCTCACGGACTGAAACGACCGACGAGTCCATGGTTTCTCACGCTGTTGTCGCTCATTTCTTCGCTTGAAAAACTTCGATTGGTGCTCGGTGGGACATCATCCAAAGACCCATGTCATGACGCCGAAAACCCATTTGACAAGAGCAACAAGGAGTCATTGTAAGGCGGCTCTTCTTTGGACTTACTGAGAAAAAAAATGCGAAGAATTGCTGTGTATGTTCATTGGTATTCTGCATGTGGGACACTTCACTTTCCGATTTGTGTGTCACCTCGGGTATATCGATTCGAATACGAAGACGTGGTACGAACACGGTTTGAGCCAGTGGAGATGAGATCATCCTCGCGACTTGAAAATTGCGACTGAAAACCCTGGAAGTCCAGTCGACTTAAAATAAATACCCGAGTCGAGTCTATAGGAATTTCCTTTACTTCAGTGGTGCAAAATATAGTGTTTTGGACGTCAAAAAAAAACATACGGAGCCGTTCATAAGACCTATATAACCCTTCGAAACAGTGATGGTTCCCTCAGCGCCCCTGGACCATCCTGTCTGGTCGCTCGAGATCGAGCTCGCTGTGGTGCTGGGTGGGTCCACTGTGGACGGGGGTACGAATCGGTACGGGATACGCATCAAGATCCCATGTGCGAGAACGGATGAACCAGGCAGCCTCCCCCTCCGGATTCCAGAGGAAATCTCATGATGCCTATTCTTTGTCCGCGCCTAGAAGCAAGGTCATCCAGTTGGTGTCCTTCAGCTTCAAGGCCTTACCCATCGAGGGCGCCCGTTGGATCGAAGGAATGGAACGACACACAAACCGCTCATGAACCACGGGTGTGTAACACACTCAAAGAATGGGAACGACCTGGTGTAGTGTAAAAACCCCTTAACACTACCAGCTTGGTGGTTTGGGATTCGAACCCTTCAAAGAATGGGCCTGGAATCCTACGAACTCGGGGGAGTGGGCCCACCCAGGTCGCGAGGTCGGGGGGTCGGATCCGAGCCAAACCGGCCAATGGTTGGGACTGGGGAGTTCCATCCAGTTCTCAATCTGGTTGGGGCTGGGTTTCCCCCCAACTGACCCAACTTGCACCTCCGGCCCTCAAAGTTCCTCCCCCCCCCCCCGAGTCCTTAGGCTTCCTCGAATCACCCAGAAACTGGGATGACTGCACACCGATCGTTTGGGCCCTTTGGGGGGTCGGATCGGGGTCGGATCGCGCTCCGACTTCGCTCCGAATTCGCTGAGCTCTCGGAGTCGCCCATCCTGCAAACCCATCGATCGATCATCGAAGCGCGCACGAAAAAGATCGAAAAGCTTGGGCACCAACCACCTCTGCCACCATCTTGTAGACATACTGCGACCTAGGTTGCCAAACAGAGTGAATCTCTTTCGTCTACGGTGCCCTGAAATCGGAAGCTGTTCGTAGCTCCTGAACCTGCTCTCTGTTGAAACAATGCTCCAGACTTGAAAGCCTGATGCAATCCCGAAATCTGTCTCTTCGACTTCAGAAATGGGCTTTTGAAACATCAAAAAACTTTCCGACACCCGACACACCCGGCTTTGGCAGCGAAGGTCCCGACTTCGGTCTCCGAGTCCAAACAGTTCCAACTGCCCGGCCAGGCAGAGGCTTATCCTTTTTTTTCCTCTCACAATGCGCAGCAAAATCTCAAAAGGCCAAGTTGTATGGACATTCCAAAGCGAAAAGCCATAAACACATCGAGCCTGGCAACACTGGCAAGATCCCTCTGGAGCCCTCCGAACGCGAAGGCCCTTGGTTTAAAGGCCAGCACTTGGGTCGAGGTCGTTCCAAACGAGTCCTCCAATGTCCTCCCTCCAGCGGCAACCACTCGATCAGGGCATCGGAGCCACGGTCCCATCCGGCTCTAGGTCCCCTGACTTGTCCATGTGGACGCCCAACATGTACTTCACCTGGCTAAAGCCGATGATGATGGCCGCGCCCGAGGTAAAGCCTGGCGCACCCGAGGTAAAGCCAAGGCAGAAGCCGAGGGTTGGACCAAGCCTCACAAAAGAATCTGATTGAGGCGCATCCTTGATGAAGTTGCATTACATGTGCAGGGAACAAATGCCACCCACACCACGCTGAGAAGGCATCATATATCAGCAAGTGGCCATATCTAGCTCAAGAGAAGTCTACTAATGGGCATGTTTGTTCAACCATCTGCAATGTTCATAGAGACTTCGTCTAACAGATTGAGGGTTCACATGACTTGGAGGAGCATTCACCCACACCTTCAGCAGCCAACCACAGAAGCAATCAAGACAAATGAGAGGAACGACAAGAGGCATCAACAGACACAGGGAGCTCATACATCGAGAGCAATATACCTTCTCAAATGTTCATTGTCATAATGTATAGTATATACCTGGACCCTGAAACGATGTCTTTTTCCGTCTCGCTGGAAAACATGATGCAGAAAACATGCAATAGAAAGCATGACAACAAAAAACAACGCAGGGTAGAAGTAACGAACATCGACACCAAAATTGTTTCTTGCTTTTTGCTGGGTCAGGGAATATCTCCTCCTTTGAATGCACGTCCGCAGCCGGAGCTTTGGATTGGTTAGGAACACCCAGCTTCAGGCTGTTTTTAAGATTGCTATGTAAGTGCAATAAATCAACCAACACATCTCTTTCAGAATCCGTGCGACTTGCACTCCTTTTCCACTCACTCTCCACTCCACTCGCTTTCCACACATACCCTACCTGGCCCTACCTGACCCGGCCCACTCGACCGGACCGAACGGCAGGCCCCACCGCTGGTGACCGGATGGCCCAGGAAGGTCACCAGGAAGCCCATCCTGACCGAGGCGACCGGGGCGACCGAGGCGACCGGGCCGTAAGACCGAAACGGCGCGGGGGAAGCCGGAAAGGAACCGGCCAGCGGTTGTGGAAGCAGCGGTTTCTGCACCAAAGGATGCCAAATGAAGAAGGAAGACCATATTTGGGGGAAGTCTCGTGGGGAGGGAGTGAGCACCAAGTGTATTGGGAGGAACAAAACAAAGGGGTCAAAAATACTTGAACAAGCTATAGACCAGGATCATCCTGTCTGGGTGTCCAATAGACTACCCTATTCCCTGCTTATAGGCCTCCATTGGGCACCCGTTGAAAAGCTATAGAGGCTTTGAACTATGAAGTTCCTGAGTTTGGATCCGGGGCCAGTTCCTGGCAGCTGCTTCATCTCCTGAAACCGCTGGTTTCACCTGGTTGATCTGCTTGGGGATGGCCGCCCTCATCCTATCTCTAAGGTCCATCCTGGGCTCCCGGTGCTTCAACGATTTGCTTGTGAATCGAAGGTCCGCTTCAAAACATGTCAAAAACATACACCCAAAGGTATCGAACGTACCCCCGGACTGGCTGCAAAACCACACTGGCTGCTCGGCAGCTCGGCAACAAACCACACAGATCTGTCGTCCATCCCGCTCCTCAAAACCATCGCCAAAATCCTCAGGTCGACTGAGTGAAGCGACTGTGACCAAGTCTCCACAACCCATGAACCACCCACCATCATGATCCAGGACGCACGGCAGTCGTAGTATGCTCGATCAAGAACTCCTTGTTGGCTCTGTCTGGTGTACGGAGCATCTACGGCTAGGAGTGGCCAACAAGTTCAGTGGCGACCGAGGCAAAACGAGCACCTGTCTCTCAACGGCGCCCAAAAACACACACAAAAAAAAAACACCTGGATTCATACATGATTCTACTACGCCCAGCCTACTATACACCCATGTTGCTTCGTTGGCGTCGTCGTCTTCGTTGATCCAAAAGGCTGGATGATCCCCATGATGGCAGAGGTAAAAATGGCCAGCTTGATGTACCTGGCCCCCAGCTTGATGATCCCAAGAAGTCGAGCTAGAAGCACCAGTCGAGCTAGAAGGGCGATGTGGACGCCATGAACTTTGGGCGCCCTAGATTCACCGTACGTCTCACACTGCATACTTGAATCTTCTGGTGGGAAAACGTGGTCGATCGCTGTCTCATGCATTTACACTGCCAGGTGATCCTCCCTTCCGCTGGTCGTTGGCCCTCAAGCCTTTGGTCGCCTTGCAAGTAAGGTCGTGCGGACTTCGGGGCGCACTCATTGGTACAGTACTCCTGCATCTGCTCATCAAGGTGGATCTGTCCTTCGCCTTCTTTGTGATGACCTTGCGAGAAGGGAGGAATCTTGGAAATGAAAAGGCATCAACCAGAGTTCAGAATGGGTGATAGCAAACCAAATACCTTCATGAACGCTTTATATTATATATGCCCTAGGGACAAGCATGGAAGAGAAAGAACTCCCCACGTTCTTGGGGGTCTTTCCTATAGTCTCATTTTCGCATCTGCGAAAGCCAAAAGCGTAGCTTATCACGTGCACTGACACAAATGAAATCAGCCATCAATAGCCCCTTTCTGCCTGTGCCTGCATCTGGACGAAAATAACGCCAACAAGTGTGTACAGTAAAATGAATCAAAACAGCTAGTAGCAAGGACGCTATGCTCGGTGGAGGCCATCGCAAGTAGATTGGAGGCCATCACTACTAACTAGTAACAAGAGGCTACTACACCTCACAAGGGCAAGGCGGCAAGGCTGTCATCGGGCGTCCCAACCAGGCTCCCATCCAGGGCCTCGCTTCGCAACAACCGCGCGGCCCGGCACCGGGGCCGGCCCCACCCGCAACAACCGTGCTCGGTCATCAAAGAGTGCGCGCTTCCTTTAACTGTTGGAGAAGGAACAAAATCACATGGTGCAGGAACATTGATTCATGCCTGGAACCCCAAACAGAAACAAATGGTTCCAATATGGCAATTAAGATCCATTCTGGCTGTTCCATGAGACAGACTGATGCCCTGATCATGAGGGATACACTCCTCAAGCTGGGAAGAACTGTCGCACCAAAGGTTGCGATTGCGGGGGCAGAACAATCGTCTTGGTCCGTGCACCTCTCAGGGTGGGCCCCGTTCATCACCCCAAGAACTGCATCCCGCACGTCGAACTGTAAAACAACAAAATATCCTGGTCATTCATGTATCTTCATCGCATTTTCTGGGCCCGTCCCAACGCGGAACTTTTTGAAGAGAAAATGGCTCCGAGTGAGTGTGGGAAGGAGCCCTTCAAAATCTTCAAGGCTCCGGAGGGCAAGAACGCCTCGCATCTTTGTGTCCTTTTGTCATTTATCCTGATTTCCACCTCTTCGATGTACTCGCAGGTCAAAAAAAGAGGGATCCAGTAAGCCCGAACGACGAGCAGCGATGATCCTCGAGCGCAGTCAAACACAAAACAACCCCCAGGTCAAGCTGGAAAATTCACATGGAGTGAAGTCCTTTACAACCACCTATAGCCCAAGCTTCAAGTCCTTATTTTAGTGGCAGCTGAGTGAAGTTGATAACTCTTCTTTTGCACCGTCGTGTTTTTCTTTGTTTCTTTTCTTTGTCCATCTCTGGACAGCTCGATCCGCATCTTCATCCCCTGGGTTTCCGGGCAGATCTCCGCCATCGGACCTTCCAAGCCTGCGTTCATGATCAAGGACACCATGGCCACCGGCCCCACCTGCGACAAAGACCGTTCGAGCCAGCACTGGTGAGGAGAGACCGTCCCTCTGAGTCGACACGGATCCCTTCAGAAGCTGTGGAGTGATTGTCCCAAGGTGCATATGAGTGCTTTCGGCCTGAAGAGGGGTGTTCTCTGCGCCCAAATGAAAGGGTTTTATGGATCAACCATCGACAAGTAGAATTCGTGTAGTACTGTCAATAGCTTTTTGATTTGCGTTACTGTGCCGTCTCAATCATCGACGACACTGGTCTCGAAAAAACGCAAGTGATGGGATGAGACCCTTTGAGAAGGTGGAGTTGCTGAAGAGAAAGACTCCGACGAACACATCACATGGAAATGGAATACCCGGGTATTCCATCCAAAGGACCATGCCGTCCACTTCCACGTGAGGTGTTTGCTGTAGCTGTTTGCTCCAACCTTGCAAATCAACACTTCAAGAGGTGAAGAATAATGAAGGTCTCCCCACTACCTACCTGACTACCTGAGGAGATCTTGGTGCCTTTTTGCTGAGCAGATCACACTCTCCTGGGCTTCCCAGCAGCTAATTGCCGCGATTGACCGAAGGCAGCATAGACCATGCCTGGTACACACCTGGCCGTTTCGAAAACGGGCAGAGTCCGGCGAGCTGGACGATGGGGTTCGCCATGGACAACCACATGGCGTCGCCGTTCGCCGTCGCTGTCGTCGGCACTCAACTAGTTGATGTCCGAGAATTTTCGTGACACCTTTGGCCAACGCTACTAGGGGCTCCTGGCCTTACTACTAAGAACAAGAAGCTACTAGGGGCCGGCCTTACTACTAGGAACAATGTCTGCCATTAGAAACCAGAAATAAATAGAATTAGAATTGAGTTGTCAGTGGATCTCCGCTCCGTCTTCGAGAAACCACCCGAGTACCCTCCCCAAACCCTCCGATTCGACGGCCCGGGACCGGGGGTCCCGGGTCGGGTCGGTTCACAAGAACCGAACGAGAAGATCCGGAAGTCATGGAGAGATGAAGTAGGATATATCCGCTAAGACCGTGACGCGGTCTTAAACTCAAGGTTGAAGATGGATATAGACCAAAACCACGACCAAAACCACGGACATGTCCAAGAATGATGTTGTGCATCCACAGGTTTCTTCGCATTCTGACGTCGCACGCACTCGTTCCCTTTTTACGACTTGAGCATGCGAACGGAGATGCCCTTCGGGATCCTTCGGGTGTGTTTTCACTTTCAGGTTTTTGGATTGGTTTGCAAAGGTGGGTGGCGTGCAAATGTTGCTGAAGATGATTGCTCCAGCTTGTTGGAGTTGTACGTTGCTTTTGCATTGGACACCAAGTCCATGATGCCGGTTTACCTGAGGACTCTCAAGAAGAAAACAAAAACTCGTGAATCTGCCTATGTGTTCAGGGAGGAGTCAGCGCAAGCAGACGAGTTTCGAAGTGATCTGAACACGCAGCTTCGTTCGTTTGTTCGATTTTCAAATGGCTGATTGAATCAAAGCATTGGGCGAAAGTTTCAGTTTACTGAGGTGGGCTACGTCGCCTTGGGTATCTTAGTGCAACCTCCTATGTTGATGGACAGTTCATTTTCCCTCACGGTTCGGCAACGTGTCAGAATCTGTGGGATTTTTCCATCAGGGTCGTCGATCTACTTATAATCTGAAGGCCTCCTGGCATCCTTTCAATGGGACGAGTCGGAGGCTCTTTCATAGTTGGCTCCACTTTCGAATTGCACAGGTTGAGGATTTTAAGTTCAGTATGTCTACCTTACGCTGAGCTGAGGGTAGCCATTGCATGAGACGCATGCGTGAAACGACAAAGACCAAAAAAACCATTGGTTGGGTGTCTCCCTATTAAAATACACACCCAGATCCCAAATGCATCACGTAGAGATCAACTGTTCTCAATGTTTTGGTGATAAGTCCAAGATAGTACGACAGTCTTCCCACTGAGAGGGGAAGACTCATGACTCGTGCACGGGTGGCGGACTCCTTCTGGACCTGAAAAGGTTTCTTCTTGGTGCTTCTGGTCGCAGTAGAGGTTGTTGTTCGGGTCCAGACTGGATCTGTTCTTGGCAAGGTCCGTCTAAGCTCCCCACGCAGCGTACATGCCATAGATGTAGGGCAGTCCTCTGACTGGTTGAGTGTTTCAGAGTCATGGCATGCCGTGCCTGCCTAAATACATCCGCAAAATAGATCTCTCTTGAATCTCCTGCTTGTTGAATGATGGATTGGCTCCATGTACACCTTGTTTGTCAGGGTCAGAAGTAACAGGAAAATGAGATCCTGGCTCTTCCAAGTGAAACGGCTCAGGTTGATATCCCCAAGAACTAGATGGATTCTCCGCTGACTAGGTGGATGGGGCCCTCATACTAACCAGGAGGTATTCAAAACTGCAGAGAAACTGCAAAGGACTGTGAGCCAATCTCAATGTCAAAACTTCATCAACACAGTTTTGGAGATTTTTGGAGGCCTCCAGCATGTATGTTCTTGTCGATCTTCCCACTGAAATACTAGTTAGTGCCCCCAGACAAGTCTTTGATGATCGGCTTGTTAAGCATAAATGGCTTCCCCAGCTTAGAGGCAAAAAAGTCCGAGTTTCATGACGATCATCGACCAGGGGGCTCGACAATGAACACACCATCAAACCGCTGCAGAAGCAAGTGGTCTTATGGGGTCTTTAGCATTTGATCGGCTCAGAAATTCCACATCTGCCCTTCCACACTGAGCCTGGAAGAGGGTCCAGTTCTGAATGTTTGCCAGCAAAGCACTGGTTCCACTGAGAGCACAGGTTCCACAAACACCTACGGAGTTTCGAAATCCTGCAGAACATCTCCACTGCATCGACGCAACTCTCGACGCCCGGTCTCGCCCCCCCTCCTGCGATGCTGGCGTAGGACATGCTCTGCGGAATGACCATCACGCCGACCTGATCGATCCAATGCTCTGCTTCGTGCCCGACCTGATCCTGTCGGAAAGAAAACGAAAACCGAGGTTTTCTACGCGGCTCTTATACATCTTCTTTGCGGCATAATACGGCTTGGGGGTTGCACCACGCAATCTGCAAGATCCAAGCAGCGATGAAACTACATGGGACAAAAGCAGTTGGGCGCCACTTAGATTGCGGATGTCTGCCATTCACAGTGGTGTCAAAGTAGATACACTATGATACCCTATCTGGAGAGTACATTGCACAGAGTGGTATGTGTATAGATGGCCCGCGGGCGTGCATACATCTCAAAACTGCCATCACCGCTCCCAGATTGAAGCTCTTCTTGTCCCAGTAGGAGAAGCGGAATGTATTTAAGTATATCTAAGTGCCTTCCTATCCAGTCGGAAGTCATCAAAGCTTGTCTTCAACCCCTCAGGAATCTGTGATCAAACCTTGGCTGTAGAAAGAACACCTCTCCCAATGGGCATCTGGGCTGGACCGACATGTTTCATGGAAACCAGATCTGGTTCTCTTGAGTTGGGTAGCTCAAGTGTACGCTTCAGGCAACGCCAGATCTCATTTCTTCAGTATTTCACTAGTACCAAAAAGATCTCCAAGTACAACTGTCCGGCAAGCAGTTCGCTTCCACCTTTCAACCCGGCCCAAGAACTCTCCCGGTTCGCTTCCGTTCGATTTAAATGGGAACGACCTGGTTGTGTAGCGTCAAATCTGTAGAACAGCTCGGTGCTTCGGGAAGAACAGGCATTGTTTCATGGGCGACCGGAAGCCGAACGGGCTACCCTGTTTCCAAAGTCACATGGAGCCTGCAAACCACTGGTGCAGCTAGAGGAGAAATGTCGAATGTCCCATTCTAAGGGCCCATGTGGACTCACAAGTCCTGGCACCTCTTCCACCAAACCATGGAAGATTGACTTCCCTTATACTGTTCATTTTGGGTGGTCAACCAGGGTGCCTGGCTTGGGAGTCGATCTCCTCCGGGTCGACTGGCCTCCGCACCTTCACCACCTTTCCTCCACCCCGCTCGCGTGCCGTGCGGCCGTCAAGCCGGCGATCAGATCCGCTCGCAAGGATTGGCCCGTCACCGTGCGTGTCCAGCTGAGCAAAGGAACCTATAAAGGCGTCGGCGTGGGACGGCGTCGAGGAAAGGAAGCGAGGGAAGGCCTGCAACCCGCAATGGCATGAGAATCTCCTGAGGGGGTCCTGGACATCTATAGTTGATCGCACATAGTTGGCTTAGTTGGTTTTTCATAGGTTTTCTTATGCCATCCTTCCGTGAGCTTCGCTCCACGCCGGGCCGTCGCTGGGCCCCCGGACGCGGCGTTGCAGGAATCGCCCCAGTCGCCCTTGGGCCTGCAGAAAACACGCCGAGGTGGTCGGCTCCTCTCCACTAGGTTGTGCATGTCTCATCGGTTCTGTCTTGACTATCTTAGAAGAGTAGAAAGACTGGTTTCACAGAGTTTCACATGGTTTCACAGGGTTTCACATGGTGTCACAGGGTTTCACATGGTGTCACATGGTTTCACATGGTTTCACAGGGTTTCACATGGTGTCACATGGTTTCACTACTCTTGAAAATAGTAGATCAAATAGATCCGTTGCGTCCCAAGTCCTCTGGCGTTCGACATTCTTGAATGTGTTGAATCTCTCTGCCTCAAGCTCTCTGCATCTTAGATGACATGACACAAACGCACAAACACTCTTCCATATGTACAAATGATATCAAATGCTTGGGAGCTTGAAGGTTAGGATACCAAACCGGTCCAATGTCAGTCCCCATCTTTCATCCCAAACAACAAGACCAACAACAAGCAGTTACTAGCTAAGCGATTCGACTCCCTAGTTCGCAGCTCCTTAGTTCGTTCAAATGGGAAGATGTATAATGTATACCTTTTCGGCTCCAAAGTAATGCTAGTTTCACAGTTTCACCTATCCCTCATATTAGGTTGGAACCCATCGCTCTTAGGGTGGCCATCGCTGGTAGGTTGGAGGCCATCGCAATTAGAGACGACGTACTCGTGTCTTCAAATGTCATCAAGAATACACTGGAACTAACCTGGAAGTGGACGGCATGGCCTCTTGGAAGACCATTTTCCTCTACAAACAGGGTATTTTCCACTTCCAGGTTAGTTCCAGGGAGAGTCTCTATCATGCTGCAAACGCGCACCAAGCCGGACATGGACGACCTGGCCGCCCGATTCGGCCCGAGAGACGCGTTGGCGGCCAGCGGCCTCTCGCATCACTTCCACTGGCAACTTTTGAGACCTGGGCAAAGGTGGAAGAATGGGTAGCAGCTAGCATCTTTGGTCCAACGGTTTGGCAGGAAGACCAGATTCCATGTCCAGAGTTCATGGTGTTGAGTCTTTGGATTGGAAGCAGCGACGAAGAACCGTGTTTTTCCAACATCGACCCACCTTGAAACCGTCTAGCGTCGATTGACCAGGGGAGGGAATCGTCGACAGCGACACGTGGCGCAAATCGCTCGGCAGAAAACGAGGCAAATCGACGCCACATCGGTGTAACCGATGATCTGAAAGTCCACATCGCTTTGGACTGAACCGCCAAAACCAAACAAGGGCATCGCTACCAGTAACAAGGGCATTACTACGAGTAGCAAAAAGCAACCTGTACCTTCCATCGATACACTAAAAAGTGCTACAATTCAAAAAACGCTCATTTCAACAAAAAGCGCTACAATCATCCAAAAAACGTACATGTGGATATTTGTATGCCCCACCATGATCCCTTTACAGGTTATCGCATGCACACACACAACATCCTGGTGGAGATCACCGCCAACAGATCTTTTTCTTTGCCCGGCCCGGAGACTCAGCGGCTACAGTTGGTAAAGGAGTGTCGCCATTGGCGCTGGTAGCTCATCAAACTCACTTGGATTGTTCGAAGCGGACATGTTCTGGCATGCTGCCTGCGGCTAGTTCTGGCAACCTTTCCGATGAAATCCTCATCGGACCAACACATCCAAACTGATGGGTTGATGGCAAAACCTGCCGTCAAAAGATCGTGTTCAACTGCTTGCCTTAGATTGCTTGCCAGGAAAGAGATGGGAAGGGTACCTTGCCTAGATAGATATAAGTGGGTTTCCCTCAATACAAAGTTGACCAAGTGCAAACAGCATGCACTATGTGACCCTGCATGTGAACCTTGGGCCGCATTCGGAACAATGCCAAGCCGTTACGGGCAGTCAGGCTGCTGAGGCAAGCATACGACTCCTGAGGTTGATCCAACTAGTACATCTTATAATCACCACGCTCCACAAGACCTATGGAAAGTTCCCCATCAAAGGACAACTAAAGGTACATATTTGCTAAGCATTTCCAGCTTCCACCATCGCCCAACCAGCAGAAATAGCTTCCTCTGCAGCCGGTCGATGAAGGAACATCCCATTGCTGTAGAGAAGTCGCCAAAACTTGCAGCTAGACTTGTTCATAAGCTTCATGACTTCCACAATGTCGCGATGCAATGGTTCCTGGGTTGTTCCAACATGTTGCAGCAGTTGATCCATATTCAGATCACGATTGAAAAAGTTAATTAAGCCCAAGATCTAGACAAGGGGCCAACGATGCAGTCTCCACCAAGGCCAGCTCTTCTTCGAGCCAGGCCCCCAAGCAGGCCGTGTCGTGTCCTTTTCCTCCCCCACAAGGGAAACACTTCGACCTTCAGGGTTGGGGAGGGCAACCAGTTTGGCTGGGTGATCCGAACGTTAAATCAAGCCCCGTAGTAGACAAGGAACCCCTGCTGGATTTTGAAGAGCTTTTCGAGAATTCAGTGATGGATGTATGCTTCTTGTACTTCGCACAATATGCAGAGAAGCGTTGAAAGGCGGCATCCATCTTCTTCCAAATGGATCCCCCACCAAAGTGGCCAACAGCCATCAGCTCCACAATGATGCTGGCATTCTCATCCTTGCCGTACCCTATGTGATAAGTGTGGGCTGGGTCTGTCCGGATCAGCTTCGTGCAAGACCCACCAGGAAGGTCGAATAGAAGGGATCTCTGATTAGCTTTGTAGGGCGAAGGGTTCTCATGGTCAGGTAGCAAGTTTCGCAGACCCCCCTCAGGTGAAAGGTCCCACCAATCCTCAGGAAGGCGTATACAATTCCAGAACATAGCCCTTACCGAACCTGAAGATTAGACTATCTTAAGACTATATCTTTCTAACAATATGTGCTATAAATCTGGAAAGAGTCCGGGCATGCGCAGTGGTGGCACTTTCTTTGGACGCGAGCTTGAAAGCCGGTCTTGAGCTTGTAGACCTTCCTGAGGAAAGGCCAATCGCCTTTGACTCCACAAAAAATTGGCCGCAGCTTCACACTAGCCCCATCGATGTTGGCCTCAGCAGTGGCAAAGGCCACCAAATGGATCGAGGTTGGGCCATATGTACACCCCATGAGAAAGCTCCGGGATTAATGGTGTACAACCCGAAACCGGCAATACGCATGCACCCCAGACCATTGAAAAACACACCCCAATGCGTTTGTGGTGAAATGAAACCCAGGAACCTGGAATCCCTCGCGGTACAAGCGGTTCCAATCATCCACCAGCGCATGGATCAATGCATCGAAGGTCTTATCATTCTTGGCATACATAGCTGATGGAACAGCCGCATACAAAAGTCGAGTGCAATAGGTTGATCTGTCAGGGGTGTGAACCATAGGTGCATGCATGGATGCAAATACATCATGCATGAATGCATGGACATGACCACCCAACTGTTTCAAACACCAACCTTTTCATATTTGTTTGGTTGTTGAAGTTCGTGATCAGCGGCTGGAAGCTGAACACCATTATGGGCCGTTTGTATCTACCACGACCTTCGTCCCCATGCAATGCCATTGGCAGGCAATATCGATATTCTGATTCATCAAAATCGTTGAATAGGGGCAAAGATGGGTCCACTTCCCGATAGGCCCGCCACCAGTCGAGTAGGATGTCGGAAAACGCCGCAAAGTCTTCACCACCTGATCCGCCAAGGAAGAAGTGGCCCCCAAGGTCAAAGGAAGTCTCCATCCACTCGGACAGAGGCAGCGTTGGGAAGTCGGTGTTCACCTCACATACCCTACCTTTCATAATCTTCCGCACAGGTGTCTTGACGTGAACCACCTTGCAAGGAAGCCTTCTACCAGTTCTGGCAACATAGCGGTGAAGTTGACGGCACGAGTTTGTGGTGCTTGAAGCTAGCGATGAAAGATTGCGATCTGGAATTCCTAAGTAGTACACTCACAAAACCGATGATTCAGGACACGCTGAAAAACAGTCGGTTAGTGCTGCTGGGTTTCCGTGTTTTCTGAACTTCTGGGATAAAAGCCCTGCAAGGCGGGTGGCCCTATAACATGGTACAGAGCCTGCTTCCACCCCAAGCACCAACTCCTCAGCGATGTCCACATCGATGGGGCCTAGGGCCACAGGTTGGTTGCATGATGAAATTCTCAAACAAATAACAAATGGCACATCAACTTCCCTGCGCATACCCATGAATTTCAGACCCCGATGTGAGCCGAGAAACTCTGAGCGTCATCTTGCTCACTTTCACCTGCCGGACGGGCGCATGGCTAGTTGCATGATGATATATATCATATCGTGAGTCCACGCGCACGCACGCGCAACAATGTCGACCTTTTGGGCATCTAGTTGAGCTCGATCAAAACCTAAAATCGTGGGACATGAGCGGCCGCTGCGAAATGAGCGCTATCCAAATCCAAACAGCTGTTGATCACGGTACTTTTACCAGCTCCAACCGACATGTACTGGTTTTGAGGTTCACTCAACATCCCACAGCCCTATGCCTGCTACATGCGGCCCAAAAACCTACTCTTCTGCATCTTTAGATGCCTTTTTTTGGCGTTTATTGGCCCCTGCTTTTGCTTTGGCCTTTGCCCGTTTTTTTGTAGCCGCTTTGCGACTACCACCATGCTCAGACTTGACCTTCTGCTTCTTCACTCCCCTGAGAAGCTGGTAGACTCCCATGAAGCCATGCTTCAAAATCATAAAGGAGTTCTAGATTTCTAGAGTCTAAGTTGGTGGCTTGGCACGGACCACAAAATTGTTGAGGGTCACATCCAACTTGGTGCACTTGGCGTAAAGGCCTTGGAGCTCCGCCTCGAAGTTCCTGCAGATCGGCCAAGTTCGTGAAGAAGGAGGGGTGGTGGACTGGGCTTCATGGGCACGCACACGCAAGCGCTCCTCCCTGGGTCAACCAAGATTTCCCCCTGGATGTCCATCATCCTTTTGTGTGTAATTTTCAATTGCGCAACAACTTGATCGATTTGATCTGCCAGCCTAGGCTGATTGAGTTCATGTATCCACGCGCATATCGTTGAAGCTAGGTTCTGGTGAAGCATATTGCATTCAAGAAGCTCAGTGGACCGGCTTGAGTCGATCCCATGAAGGTTGTCCTTGATATTTTTATAAATAAATACATATATATCATATACAAACGCACGATATGCTGCAGGCAAACCGTTCGCTGCACGCCGGGTCACTAAGATCCTCTGCGTGTTGTCCAGTTTGCGGGTGCAAACTGACACAAAAGAAGGTAGCAACGAGGTTTGAGACGCATTCTGCTTCAGACTTGGGTAGCACAGCCTGAGCTTGCAACACGTGACCAGGACTACCGACTACCGGGGTGTGTCAAGGAACCCAAAAACTGAATCAAGAAACTTGAAGGAAGATGAATCAGCCCTGACAGATTGATTCCTGTCACCGTCTGGATCCTCAGCCTGGGTCTTGTCAATCACAAAGTCGGTTAGGCTGCCTGAGTTGGCCTGCATCGATGGCACGAAGTTGGAATCAAGCAGAGCAGCATCTTCGTCCTCCAATCACCGGGGCTATTGGCTAATTGGCTGATACATGGCAAAGAGCTAGTAGTTTCAAATAGCCAATCGACACCGATATTAGACATGGTGGAAACACTCCTCCAGCGTAAAGTCAGCATGCATTTCCATGTTCTCACCGTACTCTGTAGAGAACATGAACTCATCGTCCAATACAAGAGCTATCTCTTCCTCCCCGTGCACAGCATTGCGACGTTTCTTGTGGTGCTTTTCAGCCCACTCAAATGCATTGTCTGCCATGCGCCTCAGGATTGATAAACAAAATGCAACTAGTGTGAGAAAACCCCGGGTCTATGATATGTCAAATTAATTGAGATGAGGCACTTGGTCCAGTGCCTTTCTGCCATCAACCAAACACGTGTATACCAACCTCCTTTCTTCTCAAACCTGACCTTCTTTTCATGCCACCTCTTAA